AAAATTTCTGATGGCTGCCCTGATTATAAAGCTTTCTCTGCTACAAACTGCCACATTTTCTCATTAAGGGCCCTTAAAGAAGCAAAAAAGGTTTACCAGCCAAATGTTGGGGAGAAGACTGTTAATGTGAACCCTCTGATGATACCGGTATATTGGGGTGTGAACCCTCTGATGATACCGGTATATTGGGGTGTGAACCCTCTGATGATACCGGTATATTGGGGTGTGAACCCTCTGATGATACCGGTATATTGGGGTGCGAACCCTCTGATGATACCGGTATATTGGGGTGCGAACCCTCTGATGATACCGGTATATTGGGGTGTGGACCCCCTGATGATACCGGTATATTGGGGTGCGAACCCTCTGATGATACCGGTATATTGGGGGTGTGAACCCTCTGATGATACCGGTATATTGGGGTGTGAACCCTCTGATGATACCGGTATATTGGGGTGTAACCCCCTCTGATGATACCGGTATATTGGGGTGTGAACCCTCTGATGATACTGGTATATTGGGGTGTGAACCCTCTGATGATACTGGTATATTGGGGTGTGAACCCTCTGATGATACTGGTATATTGGGGTGTGAACCCTCTGATGATACTGGTATATTGGGGTGTGAACCCTCTGATGATACTGGTATATTGGGGTGTGAACCCTCTGATGATACTGGTATATTGGGGTGTGAACCCTCTGATGATACTGGTATATTGGGGTGTGAACCCTCTGATGATACTGGTATATTGGGGTGTGAACCCTCTGATGATACTGGTATATTGGGGTGTGAACCCTCTGATGATACTGGTATATTGGGGTGTGAACCCTCTGATGATACTGGTATATTGGGGTGTGAACCCTCTGATGATACTGGTATATTGGGGTGTGAACCCTCTGATGATACTGGTATATTGGGGTGTGAACCCTCTGATGATACTGGTATATTGGGGTGTGAACCCTCTGATGATACTGGTATATTGGGGTGTGAACCCTCTGATGATACTGGTATATTGGGGTGTGAACCCTCTGATGATACTGGTATATTGGGGTGTGAACCCTCTGATGATACTGGTATATTGGGGTGTGAACCCTCTGATGATACTGGTATATTGGGGTGTGAACCCTCTGATGATACTGGTATATTGGGGTGTGAACCCTCTGATGATACTGGTATATTGGGGTGTGAACCCTCTGATGATACTGGTATATTGGGGTGTGAACCCTCTGATGATACTGGTATATTGGGGTGTGAACCCTCTGATGATACTGGTATATTGGGGTGTGAACCCTCTGATGATACTGGTATATTGGGGTGTGAACCCTCTGATGATACTGGTATATTGGGGTGTGAACCCTCTGATGATACTGGTATATTGGGGTGTGAACCCTCTGATGATACTGGTATATTGGGGTGTGAACCCTCTGATGATACTGGTATATTGGGGTGTGAACCCTCTGATGATACTGGTATATTGGGGTGTGAACCCTCTGATGATACTGGTATATTGGGGTGTGAACCCTCTGATGATACTGGTATATTGGGGTGTGAACCCTCTGATGATACTGGTATATTGGGGTGTGAACCCTCTGATGATACTGGTATATTGGGGTGTGAACCCTCTGATGATACTGGTATATTGGGGTGTGAACCCTCTGATGATACCGGTATATTGGGGTGTGAACCCCCTGATGATACCGGTATATTGGGGTGTGAACCCTCTGATGATATTTTCTGTTCATCAAATTACCAGCTCAAATGTGACTCTTTCTGGAGGAACCACTACACCCAGCAGACAACATATTAAGGAGGGACCCCCCTCCCCCCCGCCCCCCCGACTGATGGGAGCGGACTTTGCCGGTTGGAATAGGTGAACCCCAATTCTGGCCCATAGGCTCTCCTACAGGGATGGGGGTGAGCGCTGACACTCCAATACTTGGCAGAGAAGGTGAAATCGTTTGTATCCGGCAGGATGGAAATATTAGACGTTGTGTCTCCATATACAAGGTGACCACTTCTGCAACAAGCCGGCAGGAGTGAGAAACGACGGGGGATCCATTGCGACATTTTGTAGCCGAGGATGTTCATTAAAGGAGAACTCACCTCATAGTTCTAGCCGACCTGTGACAATGAGACTGTCACAGGTCGGCTCAGTCACCTCTCTGCCGTGACAGGGGAGGGGCTGGATTCCCCGCTCCGATCCTCCAGCGCTGACTGGCGGAACGGAAGGGGGAGGGGGCGGGTACAGCTGGCTCTGCCTCTAGATAGGCAGAGCCAGCTGTCACTCACGCAGCTGGGCAGATCCCGGCATAATTGTCGGGATCCGCTCCGGCGTCTCAGTATACCGCGAGCTGTAGCTCCCTATATACTGAGCTTAGGGTGACGGGAGGACGCTAGTTTGTGTCCTCCCGTTACTCTAAGGAGAACTATGTTCTCCTTTAAGCTGATACTCGGCGCCGGGCGGCATATTGTGAATGGCTGCTCGGCGCGAGAACTGACGACGCTGCGCTAGGGGAAGGCTGAGGAGCCTCTCACCTAGAAAAGTGGAAGACAATGAGACTGTCACAGGTCGGCTCAGTCACCTCTCTGCCGTGACAGGGGAGGGGCTGGATTCCCCGCTCCGATCCTCCAGCGCTGACTGGCGGAACGGAAGGGGGAGGGGGCGGGTACAGCTGGCTCTGCCTCTAGATAGGCAGAGCCAGCTGTCACTCACGCAGCTGGGCAGATCCCGGCATAATTGTCGGGATCCGCTCCGGCGTCTCAGTATACCGCGAGCTGTAGCTCCCTATATACTGAGCTTAGGGTGACGGGAGGACGCTAGTTTGTGTCCTCCCGTTACTCTAAGGAGAACTATGTTCTCCTTTAAGCTGATACTCGGCGCCGGGCGGCATATTGTGAATGGCTGCTCGGCGCGAGAACTGACGACGCTGCGCTAGGGGAAGGCTGAGGAGCCTCTCACCTAGAAAAGTGGAAGGCACGCGGCGACCCACTGAACACGGGGTCACGACCCCCCAGTTGAGAGGCTTTAGAACCATCCGGTGTCCTAATCCAAAATAAAAATCCAAATAGAAGGAAAACAACAATTGTATCGCAGAGAATAATGTCGTCGCCGCGGATGTGTCATCGGCTTTGTTATGGTTTTGGATACAATTGTTATTCTCTTCAGATTTCTTGTTTATAAAATCCGGAGTACATTTCATGATTTGTCTTTACATACATAGAATGTTCCAGAGCTCCGCCTTCTATCTCCGCTCTCCTATTTACGATCACTCGGAGTCTCTGTGATAAAATCTCTTATAATCTCCGACGCGTTCTCGTCATTCCAGAATTCATTGTTCATTGGTTACATTGCGACCAAACAATGAACATGGAAGTGCAAGTCGGTGTAGCGATGGCGAATGCAAGAGAGCGCACACCTATGCCGTAGCGGTGGTGAGTGACACAGTTGCAGCATCTTACAACTGTATTTCAGAAAGCGGATGCACGGTGCACTCCTGCTATGACATCCCACATGAGTAAAGCCCTCTCCCACCGGTCTGCTGACAGATCGGTTATTGTGTGCCTGATTTCAACTTTCAGCTGGCAGGAGGATGTTTAGTGAAAGGCTTCAGGTTGCTGCAATGAGAAATGACGGGCCCTCAGTATGAATGAACCCGAGAACAGAAAGAGGTCACGTCTGTGCCATGTTGTCTCAGCGATGGCGCCTACACTGTGTGAGCATTGGCATGCAACTGACAATGTACTGCAACACGCCAGTACAGGGTACTCAGGTACTCCGCCCCATGTAGGACATGCCAGGCACATACGTACTCCACCCCATGTAGGACATGCCAGGCACATACGTACTCCACCCCATGTAGGACATGCCAGGCACATACGTACTCCACCCCATGTAGGACATGCCAGGCACATATTTACTCCACCCCATGCAGGACATGCCAGGCACATACGTACCCCACCCCATGTAGGACATGCCAGGCACACATTTACTCCACCCCATGCAGGACATGCCAGGCACATACGTACCCCACCCCATGTAGGACATGCCAGGCACACATTTACTCCACCCCATGCAGGACATGCCAGGCACATACGTACCCCACCCCATGTAGGACATGCCAGGCACACATTTACTCCACCCCATGTAGGACATGCCAGGCACATACGTACCCCACCCCATGTAGGACATGCCAGGCACACATTTACTCCACCCCATGCAGGACATGCCAGGCACATACGTACTCCACCCCATGTACGACATGCCAGGCACATACGTACTCCACCCCATGTAGGACATGCCAGGCACACACGTACTCCACCCCATGTAGGACATGCCAGGCACACACGTATTCCACCCTATTCAGGCCAAGCCAGGCACATACATACCCAATGAAGGGCACGTCAGGCACACACATGTAGAAAAGAAATAGACACCGGCACTCCAATAATAAATAGATTACGTCTATTTATTGACGTACATCAAAAGCAACACACATGTACCTCCTTCATGCAGGACATGCTAGACATACGTACTCAGCACTATGTTGGGCATGCCAGGCACACACTTACTCAGCCCCATGTAGGACATGCCAGGCACATACGTACTCCACCCCACGTAGGGCATGCCAGGCACACACGTACTCCACCCCATGTAGGGCATGCCAGGCACATACGTACTCCACCCCATGCAGGACATGCCAGGCACATACGTACTCCACCCCATGCAGGACATGCCAGGCACATACGTACTCCACCCCATGCAGGACATGCCAGGCACACATGTACACAGCCTCATGCAGGACATGCCAGGCACATACGTACTCCACCCCATGTAGGACATGCCAGGCACACACTTACTCCACCCCATGCAGGACATGCCAGGCACATACTTACTCCACCCCATGCAGGACATGACAGGCACACATGTACTCCATCCCATGCAGGACATGCCAGGCACACATGTACTCCATCCCATGCAGGACATGCCAGGCACATACGTACTCCACCCCATGCAGGACATGCCAGGCACATACGTACTCCACCCCATGCAGGACATGCCAGGCACACACTTACTCCACCCCATGCAGGACATGCCAGGCACACACGTACTCCACCCCATGCAGGACATGCCAGGCACATACTTACTCAGCCCCATGCAGGACATGACAGGCACACATGTACTCCATCCCATGCAGGACATGCCAGGCACACATGTACTCCATCCCATGCAGGACATGCCAGGCACATACGTACTCCACCCCATGCAGGACATGCCAGGCACATACGTACTCCACCCCATGCAGGACATGCCAGGCACACACTTACTCCACCCCATGCAGGACATGCCAGGCACACACGTACTCCACCCCATGCAGGACATGCCAGGCACATACGTGTAGTCCACCCCTTGCAGGGTAAGCCAGGCACATACGTACTCCACCCCATGCAGGACATGCCAGGCACACATGTAGTCCACCCCATACAGGACATGCCAGGCACATACATGTACTCTACCCCATGCAGGACATGCCAGGCACATACATGTACTCTACCCCATGCAGGACATGCCAGGCACATACATGTACTCCACCCCATGCAGGGCGGTGCCTTATCCTAAACAAACATTGCTCTGGCTTTAGATTCACTGTAACACGCTTGTATCAGGAATATTTGCATGTCGGTACCTGTCGGAGGACTGACACAGGAACAATATCAATGGGATGAAAAATCCGACCCACCTAAGACCCGGCGGTGGTTGGTGATCCCCGAGGACTGGCTCTACAAATTGCTGATTTGAAAATGCCGATTGCCTGGCTGTCCAGCAGACTCCATGGCTCTGGTGCTTTGCGTGTCACTGGCCAGGAATAAATATGAATCTCTGGTAGTGCTGACTTTGATGGCTGCGTTGCCTCAGTGACTCCACATACAGAAGACAGCCAGGCAACCAGCATTTCCCAAGGGAGGTCAGATAAACCAGTCTCTGCATTTCCCTGTGTACAGGCTTCCTGACTCCGTGACCTGTTAGTGTGAGCCGAGCACAGGGTCAGGAAGTTGCAGCACAGAAGTCACAGATTGCACAGTGCTGGCTCTGGCAGTGCAGGGGTTAATCCTAATGACACAACTAACCTCAGGGACCGTCTGAGAAGAGTCACCATGACTTAGCAGATGGAGCCGCCCTGCGAGAGACCAGGGAGCCGAAATTAAATTCCTGGGATGGATGTCAGAGAAGGGTTAATACCTGGGCAGTTCCCCTTCCTCGGAGCACTCCTCGTAGAAGCAGATAGCAGCGATGAGAACCAGAAGAGAGAGCAAAACCCAATACCCTCCACCCAGCATGGGGACACCCGGACTACTACTGCGCATGTGCGGCTCCCTGTACTCTACATTGCCGTATGTTCCGGTGTATGAGAGCACTCCCACCTCTCTACTGTACACTGCCATATATACTGGTGTATAAGAGCACTCCCTCCGCTGTATTGTACTGTACAGTGTACACAGCCATATATACTGGTGTATAGGAGCACTCCCTCCACTGTACTTTACAATGCTACATATATAGGTGTATATATTTCTATAGAAGGCACAGAGGGAGTTCAGAAAGGGAGGTGGAGAGAAGAGGAATATGGATATATGGGTGGAGATGAGGAAAAAAGGGAAAGGGGAGAAAAGGAGCAGAAAGGAAAGGGGGAGGATGGAGAAAAAAAAATAGAATTGAGGAGGAGTAGAATGGGAAGAGAGGGAGACGTTGGGGGGATCAACTGACCATCAATGTATCAAAAGTATTTCTTCTGATCACCAATGTAACCAATTAGGCTGGACACCACTTCCATTACATTTACGATGCTCTTGAGTTGACATTCTTTGGCACCCATTATTTTTAACATCCAAGGTCCCCTTACACTGTCCAGCTCCTCCCCCTTCCCCCCTTCACAAATCACCTGCCATAAAATGTACCTGTAAGAAGAAAGTTGCCCTTACCTTACCCCTGTTCTCCTCCTGAGGTGAGGAGGACTCCGCACTCCTTCCAGCGAAATCCGGGTGATTACAGAGCAGGCGAAACCTCCAGATCAGATGCTCCCACAATGGACTGGAGTGCAGGAGTGTTCCCGGGGTCCTGTAAGGGCACCTAGATGGAAATGTTGTGTGTTAAATAGAAACCAGAAATTCACCAAAAATATCAAATGCTCCAATGCACAGCTGCAACGGGCAGTGGGCATGTGCAATAGCCAGCCTGCTATTGGCTATGGCAATTTGAAATAGCCAACAGCAGAATCTAGCCAGCAGATGAATGGGATGTTGCTTGAGTGTTAAGGTCCCCACACACCTTGCGATAATCGTACGATAATGGCGGGAAATCCCGCGATTGTACGATTATCGTAAGGTGTGTGGAAGCCGTGCGACCTCTACTACTGTACGGTCGCACGACTTTTAACTTACGAACATGTTCGAAAACCCGCCGAGCATCGCACGATGTTTGGCGGGTGTGTGGCATGTTCGTATGATAAAAGCCGGACGGGCCGGTGTGTGCAAGCGCACACTGCCCGTTCAGCATTGCGGTCATCGGAAGCCTGCTCGGCATTGCTGTCATCGACTGAAATCGCCTGTCGTGCGACAAGGTACAGGTAGGGTTGCCACCCTTATTCAAGCGAAACCCGAACACGCTCTAGTGACGCACGGACATTTTTGGGGGGAGAACGAGTCGTGGCTTATGCATATGTAAAACCGCCGCCCATTCATATGTAAATATCACAGTTGAGACTATTTTCAGTGGGGGGGAGGGGGGGGGGAGCAGTAGCCCCTATCTTGATTTTGGTTGCCCCTGTCTGCCTGACATCTTGTGTCCGGGTTTCTGCTGCCATGAAACCCGGACACAGCATTCAAAACCCGGACTGTCCGGGTGAATCCTGGACAGGTGGCAACCCTAGGTACAGGAACTATGTTCGGGCGGTCTGGGTCCCATAGACATCTATATGCATTGTAAAACGCACGACAATCGTGCGGTTTACAATGAACAGTCGCGCGATTGAAAATGCACGACAACCGCACGAAAACAGCTCGGCATCTGCATCGCCTAGGTGTGAACCTAGCCTAAGAGAGAACATGATTTCACTCCTTCTCCAAATGCAGGCTCTCAGGTCATTGATGTCCTCCTGAATACCATTGCCCTGTATTATCGCATCATTGTGCTGGAATTTAGGGCCTTTTAATGTATATTGCCCCTAATGGTGTTCAATGTCGTTATGTTTTATGTGTTTTCTATTTGCAAAATACTAATAAAAAAATATCTGTTAAAAAAAGAACCCGAGAGAACCTGATAGGAAATCTATAATTGTATATTTGCCATCACAAGGTATGAATGTAGAAACATGTTCCTCTCAACCCCTTACTCGGGAAACATTTCCTTTTACTTCCTGTAGTGTCACTTTCCTTTAGGAAGTAAAGGGAAATCTCTCCCAGCAGCGCAACAAAAAAAAAGAAAAGAAATAACTTTCCTCAGTGGGATTTGTTAGAGAGTTTTAAGGTCTTATAAATCCATCACTTCAGCAGCTATTTGGTTTGTATCTCCCAGGATCAGCACCCCAAAATGTACTTGTGGGATCCAACATTGTACATTCGGGATCATCAGGGTGACTGCAAAGTGCCCGCACTCCTATTTATTATGGTGCAGTACTCCAGTGTTGTTACTAATGCACTAAAATGGCTACAATCACCTTTCCCATTGGATACAAAACCAGAACTGTAATATCTGTTTAAAAAAAAAAGAATACAGATGTTCCTCGGTTACCGACTTACCTGTTTTGCGACCACTCGCACTTTACGACGGACCGCCGATCGACCTCCGACCTTGCGCGTCAACGTCAGTGCGCCGTGTCGCCGGCGGAAGTGGTGTCCTCCGATCTTCACTGTGGGTCCCGGTAAGTATTTTCATTACCAGATGTACAGTACACTGTTCGGTACTGTACATCGCCAACGCTATACAGTACTGTACTAATGCAGCACGGTACTGTATAGAGTTCCTCACTTAAAGTGACATTAAACCCTCAGATTTTTTAACATAAACCAATACTGTAATGTGCGCCTTACTGTAATCCATGGTAGTTTCCCTTCTCTTTGCTGATCTTCCTTTTAAATCCGTATCTGTTCTCATGCTGGGGGAGAACTTCTGTGTTGCTGCAGACTGCCTTGTCTCAGGAATGGATACACGTTGTCTGTGTATTAGTTTCTATAGGCTTGAAACCTGAGCCAGCACTACAGGAAGAGGCCCTGAGCTGAAAAGGGAAGTTCTCCCCCAGCATGAGAAGACATGAGGATTTAAAAGGAAGAGCAGCAAAGAGAAGGGAAACAACCATGGATTACAGTAAGGCGCACATTACAGTATTGGTTTATGTTAAAAAATCTGAGGGTTTAATGTCACTTTAACCACCAATCCGTTTAACGACCTGGTCGTAGGAACGGAACTCGGTCCTTAAGGGAGGAATACCTGTAATGCATTCTGTTTTTTACTTATGACAAATGACAAATAGCACCTCGCGCCAAACCCTGTGTAGCTGCAAGCACTAGAAGAAGTGTTACCCTCTAAATGTATCAAATTATAATAATGAATGACAAATGAATTCAATTTGGTGCTGTATTTTACTTGGAGACGTTTCGCTGGTCAAGTCCAGTTGCTTTGATTTTTTTTTTTTGTTACAGATATTCCGTGACCTACCTCTTGGACTGTAAGCTCGTTTGGGCCGGGTCCTCCTCACCTACTATTTCTGTATTTCAATGATGCTTGTCAGTGTTTCTTACTTGTCTTGTCTAAACGATTGTACAGCGCTGCGGCATATGTTGGTGCTTAAAGGAGAACTATGAGGTGAGTGAAAATCACTCAGCCTCATAGTTCGAGCCGACGATGTGACAATTAAACTGTCACAGGTCGGCTCAATAGATCGGGAAGTGAGCAAACAGATAATGTCACTCGCTCACTTCTCGATCCTGTCCCTGCAGAGAGCAGTGACTGTCACTCACGGCTCCCTGCAGGGATTCCCCCCTCCCCTGTCCGATCCTCCAGCGCTGACTGGCGGAACGGACGGGGAGGGGGCGGGTACAGCTTGAGCTGCCTCTAGATAGGCAGAGCCAGCTGTCAATCACGCAGCTGGGTGGATCCAGACAGTAATGTCGGGATCCGTCCTGGCTGCGGCGGTCTCAGTATACCGCGAGCTTTAGCTTGCGGTATACTGAGTTTTAAGTCAAGGGAGGATGCTAGTTTGTGTCCTCCCGTGACCCTGGGGAGAACTATGGGGAAAAACACTGACCCCCATAGTTCTCCTTTAATAAATAAAAAATTGTTATTGACCCGGATGAATGAGAACCTTCACAGACAGAACGGTAATATTTTCTTTGTAACACAAGAGGGCAGCACATAACCAGAAAGGAGGCAGCTCCCACTACTACAACACTTCTGTACTGAGGAAATAAAAGTACAAAACTTCTACAAAAATTGCTCCCAACTTTGTGAATTTATGTTATTGTCCATCCAGGGAGTTCATTTCCTCTTCTGTACAAATGTATTATTCTGTTTTTTTACAAATGTGGATTGCAATACTTTTATTTCGATGACAGTATCCTTCGGCGCTGAGTTGAGGATTTGGCGCATCTTGGTCAACTGATCCAGGTACAGCATGAGGTGAATATTAGAGGTGCACCGAAATTAAAATTTTAAAACCGAAATGAAAAAAAATGTCGGGCCGAAACCGAAAAAAATTTTTTTTTCAAAAATTTTTTATTTAGTTATTTTTTAGAAATTGTTACATTTTTTTATATTTTGTTTATATTTTTTGTTAAATATTTTAATTTTTTACTTTACTTTTAGGGGCTTCCAGGGAAATATCAGGGGTCTAAACAGACTTCTGGTATTTCCCTTTTAAAATAGAAAAAGAGATTGAGGACACAGAGTCCTCAGACACACACAGAGTCCTCAGACACACACAGAGCCCTCAGAGACACACAGAGTCCTCAGACACACAGAGTCCTCAGACACACACAGAGCCCTCAGACACACAGAGTCCTCAGACACACAGAGTCCTCATGTCTTTTTCTGTATCCCCTGTTATAAATGATCAGGAATCCTCTATACTGAGTGTTCCTGTTCATTCATAACATGAGGACAGAGTGTGTTTACTATAACCACAATCATGAATGGACAGGAGGGGATGTAGATCACTTTCTATTTATTCATAATTGAGGATATAGTAACCATACTCTGTCCTCAATTATCGCCAAACACTCAGCGATCACTGATCACCCGCTCTCCTCTCTGACACGCTGTCACAGGAGGCTGAGCGAGCG